TCACACACACAGTTCAATAAATACACACATCCATTCACAAACAGCATACAAAAATAACTACGCACTTTAAAAAGGGCACTTGTGATTAGGAAAGGCAAATTTTAAGATTCTTGGAATCCTGTGAGGTTCATATACTTGAGAGTTTAAGTGCTTATTTTAATTACATAGCAGGAAAACAGCATTTCATACCATTATTTCACTTACAAATAATCAGTTGAAAAACATTTTATTGATGTTATTTTATATGCAAAAATTTTGAGAACCATGAGGGATAACAAAAAAAAAAAATGTTTAAGTCAAGGCCCCTACCCATACTCAGTCAAAACATTTGTCACAAAGGAACCTGTAATCTAATGGTAATTCTTAACTAAATTGGGAATTTTGTATTAATTTAAGGTGGTTCCAACTGTTGTGCTCACTCATTTTTTTTTTTCTTATGATGTAGCTTTCATGGTAAGGAATATAGCTTAGGTAATTTTCCTTTGAAGAACTTTAACACTGTCTACTTAGCCTGTTTCACTTAGTAAAGCATATTGTGTGTAAATTAACTCTATAATTCATGTCTTAACTAAAATGCAGGCTTCATTATAGCAGAGACCAACCTGTCTCCATAGCTGATGTCCAGGACAAGCACACTGTAAGCTCTCATTAACCATTTGCTAAATTAATTAATTAAATAACTACTTCCAAAATCCTGGTCAGGAAGGAAGCCTCTCCATAAAGGAAAGCAACTGGTTGTGTACAAAATGGCATTCCTCTCAGAAGTGCTAAATATTCTTTTCAGACAAAAATCAATGAACATCTTTCCTACATATGAAAGTGGTTTAGGACTATGTAACTTTTTGAAAGACCAAGTACAGTAACTGGGGTTTATGAAATTAAACCTGATTTGTGGTTTAATCAGGTTTATGAAATTAAACCAATCTGGGGTCCACATTTCATCTTCAGTATAAGGGAAAGATTAGACCAAGCTTCCCATGGTCTTGATTGGCATTGACTTTCACTCATTTCATATTCAAAGGGTCTATCATGATGCTGGGCATTGTAGGAGTTTAGCACATTTTTTCTGAAATTAATTTAACCAAATTCACAAGTGCTTTATTGCTCACCAATCTTTTATTTCAGGAGATTGTCTTTAAAAGTTGGAAGATCGGGAGGATTCAAACAAGTGAATGATTGCATTACTTAAAATTTCTTTTAAAAATAGCCCATCAAGAAAATTCAAATATACCATAAAGAAAGCACCATGATCTCAGTTTTTCAATGAACTGAAAATCTGAGTTATACAAAAGGCATTATATATAAAGAAGTTTTATTATCTAGGCTCTTCTTGGACAACTTTTTTTAAATTAGTTACTAATTAGGTAGGGAAATTATCACTTAGCATGTGTTGCAATAAAAATATTAAAATTTTAAAAAGATATCAATACTTCTGAAGAGGAAAAAGCCACAATGATAGTGGCTCAACATAAGTTTTCAATGTTTTTTAACTTAACAAAATCTTGATCTTTAGCAAAAATATTTAATTTGCTAACATGATAAAATTTGTAAATTAACTAATGGAATTGGCCTTTGCTACTCTCCAAAATACAATGTTCTTTGGTTGGCCTAAGCCACCAATTGGCTTAATAAAAAATCTTATGTAATAAAATTTTTATTTAGCATACTTCCCAGTCCAGAATTTCAATTATTATCTAGAATATTCTACCTTAAAATCTGTAGAAGAATAATAAGATTCATTATAGGAGAAATAAAGTCAATAGTTTGACTAAAATATGAAATCCTTATGTTTTAAAATATGGAATCATTTGAAGAATCAGCATAGCCTATGTAAAAATCAACAGTTACAAATATTCTTACTCAAATTTCTTCTTTCTTGTACCTTACCAAAGTGGGTAGAAACCTATGTATGTGTGCACATCTCTATACATGCACATCCTACCTTTTCCGACAAGAGGCTGATAAAATAACTTTTCCGTTGAGGGGGTACAGCTTTCATTCAGCTGCAAGGTTATAGCACCCCCTAGCCCCGCCTAACAGAGTGGCAGTCAATTCTGGCAGGAACTGAAGTGTGAAGGAGCTATAATATATGTAAAACCCAGGTATTTTTCAAAAGTATTCTTCATAGAGGGAGGTATTTTATTTTATTTGGTCAAAACTGCTGTATCTATTAGAGTTTAGAATTTCTAGTTCTGACTCTGAATAGTACCAATTGCCATTGAAGTATAGGAAGCTGATTTATTCTAAAGATCACATTGAGCATAAATTTATCAAACAGATTTCCACAGGTCCTCTAAATTTTCCCCCCCAAATCATCAAAGAGCCAGATACTTGGAGTACAAGTATGAAATATAGGACATAGTTGTGACGGTTCTTGGCAAATCTTATGCTAATAGGCAACAGCTCTCTGGGGGAAAAATGTACATTATTGAAAAATATATGTGAATATGACACATATGGCCACCAATCAGATGACATTGTTATTAGTATTATTTTATTCATATATGGTAGATTAAGGAAATAGTTGAAAGATGAAGTATTCAGATGCTCTTGTAATGAATTTAAACTGTTTTGCTTGTCCCATCTTTGAATCTTTAAGCTTTCCTTATTAAGCTACAATGACTATTTCCAGCATTTCATAATAGTGCTGATTGCATAGCACCTGTCAGTAGGAATTCAGCAATATAAACCTTAAATGCTTTGATGGGAATGTAAATAGAATACCAATTTGCCAATGCAGCACTCACGTCTGTAGTATCTGTGGGGTTCACAGGATTCCAATTAGTCTGACATTTTTTGCAGACTTCAGGAAAAGAACTATTGCAAAACTTGGAAGCAAACAAAAGACAAGTTTCCTCACCTTATTTGGCCCATTTTATGATTTATTCCTGTCTTCACTACTGGGATGCTTGAAAGTCATCATTCTTAATTCTGAGATACTGTAAATCTAGATACTGTAAATCACTTGGTCAATGTACATTAAATTTAATTTAGTCTGACCACTGCTACAATTCAAAGACCAGCAAATTGATTGTGTTACTAAAAGGTGATCACATTGATACTGCCATTTAATGAACTCCATGCTTGTACATTGCTCCTAATGCACACTATTTTAGATCACTTAGTCAACTCCACTTTAATTGAATTTATCATTTGAAACCTTGACTTGATGCTAATGGTCCAAAAATAGCAGAGTCTTTCCAGAGTAGTCCTGTCTACAAAATGCCATATATTGATGTTTTCCTGCAACAAACACTTGTCTTTCTTGTCTTTTTTCAGGGCCAGTTGTCAGTTATTGAGGCTCAATTATAAGAAAACTTGCATTTAGAAAAAGATATTATTGACCTCTGCAAATTGACTGGCAGCATCAAAATTTGAAAGTGGAACTCAGGCAGGCTTAATGGGATATATGCAAATTCTTTCCAAACACAGACCAGAAACTGTCATATGGCTGTTGTTATTTTAAGATACGCATGATCTCCTCTTTCTGTTCTATCTCCTTTTATTTTCACTAAATGGAAGCAGTATGTTTGCAAGACTAGTCTGGCTTAAGAGAAATGACAATAGCATTTGCTGGGTTCCACCATGAGGAATCATTACCAGTGCCAGTTGGTTTCATAAGCCAGCCCCAGGGAAAAAAAAAATGAAACTGATGTAAGGTGACATTAAAACAGGAAAAAGGAGTAGAGAAAAGACGTGATTTCTGTAGGTTTATAAAATCAAGGCAGCATTGTAGAAATTGGAAACGAGCAGAGAATAGTAACTGATTATGCTTTAATTTTTTTTTAACGAAAGAAGAACCTAATTTAGTGTAGCATTGTAGTTCAAAAATAGCTCCGCATAATTCATAAGGTGCTGTACTTGAGGAGAGCTAAAGTTCCTAATTATGATAATGCCTTTTGATAACTTTTATTGAACATAAGCATTCCCATGATTAAATCTCTTAATAGGCAGCTCTCTTCAGTACTGGCTGCCATAATTTCAAAGCTCTGCTAGACACATTTCTGTACAGAAGCAATATGATGATATCTAACACTACTTGCCAGAAATCAAAAAGAAGAATAAATATGTGGAGAAATAATATAATTTACAACAAGAATTTCCAACTGAAAAATTACCATCTATACAAAATTTTGAGACAAAAAATAAGGGATTTGTCATCATGGGCTATATTCAGATAGCCCAAGTGAAATATAAAATCAAACATATTTTTTGAAATTACCCAACTTTTTCAGCCCACCTCCTTTCTTTTACCTATATGTGTCCTGTTATGTTCACCCTCACAGGACACATTAGCTAATTTTACCTTTCACCTATACCCCCTACAGTTTTTATAGAGAGTTTATTAGAGCCCCAACTTCCAAGTAATTAAAAGTTGTCTATGACCAGTAATGTGTCAAAACCTCGGAAAGACTTATCAAAACATTTAGATTCTTTGCTCCAAAATGAACTTCTGTAAGGAATTTTAAAGGGTCTGAAATTTTACCCTACGTGGAAGCTGACAAGTGAATCTGCCCCAATTTCATAAATGCTGGCAGAAAACACAAGACTCTAGGATCAGAGACATAGGATTTTATTATTCATGGCACAGAAAGCAGTATGAGCTTCATGTTCATGTTAATTCCCTTGGTACTCAAGGTCTGCAGGATGACAAATAATGGTCCAGGTGGATTCTTTGTACAAAGTGGGTTTGCATCAAAGCTGAGCAACCAGGAGTTTAGGAAATCCCAGCCTTATAATGGACAGCAAAGAAATCTGCCTAATTTTCACCTAGAGGGAAAAAATTATCTTTATCACACTGGGCAGCACACAAACCTGCCCTTTGCTCTGAGGAACACACTGTACCATCTAAGCTGCTTGTTATACAAGCAGTCACACAAAGACAATCTGGGACAAAAAGAATCAATGCCTCTGTTTGCACAGAAATATGATAGGCTTGTAGAGAAGCATCTTTCATAGAGTACATTTGCTGTTCTATGTCATGCATTATCTTATATTTATTTATTCTTTATCAACATATCCAGCCTCCCCAAGACAGCTATAAGCTCTCATTAGAAAGAACTCATCCTCACACCAATATATGTACACACGTAATGCCTAGGATAGGTCCATAACATCATTTGTGCTCCATATGTATTTAAAAACAATTACTGATGATGAAGATGATGATTGATTTGTGCCAATTGATTGTTGGTAGAAATTATATTAAAACTTTGAAAGATACAGTCCATTTTCTAGAGATATTTCCCTCAAGATGCCAATATCTGGATTTTTACAAAACCATAAAATGTTAGATGGTTGACATTATGTAGAATACAGAACTAAATGGTCCACAAAGTCACAAAGTCTCACTCTTTAATTCTTTTCCCTTTCTTTTTTTTGATGTAATGTGGAAGTCATCTTTGTCCACGAAGCTGACCTGGAAAAACACATGCAAGTTTAGCTAGAAGAATTTTATAGATAATGTATAGATAATGCCCTAGAGAAGAGAAGAAATTTTAAACAAAGGGGAAAATGAGGTTAAAATGAATTCCAAGCCTAAAGTCATGTTCACTTTTTAGCAGTCAATAGATAAGAAATTTGGTTTGCATGCATAGACAGAAACTTAATGCCCAAAGAACTTCACTGATAAAACTGCCTGGAGTACATTTTGTTGATACACGTACGAGCTTGAAAGTTTCATTGTCTTTAACATACTGCTGAGGGCTCATATAATGTAAAAAAAAAAAAAAAATCCTGTTAAAATCAAGCTTTTTTAAAAGAACATTAGAGATAAACAAATAATTGGATATATATAATAAAATGATATGGTTCATCCTTAAAAATAATAAATCATTTATCAATTGAATAACAGTTATTTAGTGAAACAAAGCAGGATACACCATTTTACAAATAGCTTTAAATATATCTTCATATTTAAGGTAAATATTAAAAGAATATCAATATACTTTGCAAATATCATGGATTTTACTTTGTATGATAAATGAAAGCTCTGTTACAGTCTAAACCAGGAAAGGGCCAGTTCTTATAGAAAATAAAAGAATCATTTGAGATGTAAATATCTGACAAATAAGGTATAGCAGAAAAGGAAATGGAAAGGGGTTTGAAGAAGAAATGAACAGAGTCTAGTTGTTAAGGTAATTAACCTTTTTTCAGGATCATTAAAAAATGTTTTTCCTGCACACTACCAATTTTCTTTCAGGTTATAGAGGTCATTGTTTAGCAGAACAGGAGGGGAAAAAATTGAGAGCTAGTATTCATCTACCTAGTGCAAAGGGGGCACAAAAATATTAACAATCGTGTTGGATTCTTTGTTTCTGAATGTGTCTTCCTATACTGGATTTCTACTTTAAGCCAGGGAGATACAACTACACAAACATCATCCATTGTGATATTAATTATGGTGAAAATTAGCAATATAAAATTTGAATATGTCCCACTATGTTCACAATACTTCATATAAGAAGTAGTATTCTTTTTATCAAACATATAATATATAAATATAATGAAGCACTCTAAACTGATATTGTACAGTTTTCAAGTATCCAAGATATTGATATTCAGATACAGATATTCAAGTATTTCATATATTTAATGAGGAAACAATTCCAATTCACCTCCACCAAGTACTTGCTACTTGGGACCCCCTTAAGCCTTTGTACAGAACCTATCAGATTGCTTCATAAATATTTGTTAACTTACCTTTTCCTCCTGAAACCTCAGAGCTCTTACCAGTAAGTAAAGACTCTACAAGGAAGAAAATCTTCCCACCTTGTAGAATTGTTTTGAATATTCAATGAAGTAGCCTAAAGGACATTGCTGAGCTTAATGCCAGGCATCTATGAGGATTTACTTTTGTGAAAATATAATTTTCATGCTTTCATATTTCACATTTTGTGAAAATATAATGGTAAAATCATGACTCTCATCAAATATAAAATGAACATCTATCAGAGATTTTATTTAGCTCATTAATTAGTCAGGAAACAAGAAAGATGTTAAAACTGATTTAAATAAAATGTCTGACAGAGATTTTTATTCTCTACTGGACAAAATTCATTTGCATTTCTATAGACGAGAAACATTTTCATTGTTATCAGTTTGTTACAACATAGCTTCCATCCCTATAGAGTTGTAAAATAGCCTAGTCAATAAAAGACAATCAAAGGTACACAAGCTCATAGAATCAGATAACCCCCAGAGAGTTCGGTAGACAATGTTCAGCACTCCACTGAAAGGACTCCCAGGAATTTCACTGGCAATTTGCAAGTCAATTTTTTTGACAATCATTTGCCCATTTCCAAGACAACTTTTTTCTGACACTTCCTTTTCCACAAGATTCATTGATTCTAGGACTAAGACTTTATTAATTTTTGCATCCTCAGTACTTAGTGCATGCTTAGTACTCAAAAAAAAATCCGGGTTAATTGATTTTTAAAAGCATTCACATTTATACAGACCTTTATTATATACAGAAAAAGTTTTCCCATGCATTCTATAATCCATTCAATTATCTCACAGAAAGCACTGAAAGAACAGTGGCAGTCACAATCTTATTTTCAATTCAATTTAATAAATATTTAATGAGCATCTACCATATACTCACTAAAAAAGAGAGAGAGAGAAAGCTTACCATAGTGACTTGATTTGTATCTCTTCACTTTTTCTCCTTGATGATATGCTGGACTTTTCTCCTTTATAACCTCCCTTTAACATCATTACCATGGAAACACTTCTGGAGCTATAATTCTGCTTTTTATAGGGAGTTTCTAGTCTGAGTACCAAAAAACAATATAAGAATCATAACTACCTCCTCCTGGTTTATACTGCCATCCTCACAACAGCCTTCCCAACAAGCTTATGAGATATTGTAGATTGCTCCAAGAAATAGCACAAAGCAAAACAAGACAGAGGACAGAGTTGTGAAGTCCTGTATAAAGGACTCCATCTACTCTTTTGCTGTTCAGTCTCAGGGCCACTTTTCTGGCCCACCCTGACTTTTAGTTTTCCTAATGAGTCAACACATTTTTCTATCTCTTGGAGCTTTCACCCTTAAACATTGCTTCAAAGTAGAGAAAGTGCGGTCTCTCTTGCTTCTTCCAAAGATAAGCAAAGATTTTTGGAAGGAAAAGAAACTCCTCCTACTAGTTGCCTAGGACAGACTCAGGCGCTTTGAATACGTGAGGCCTCAATTTGGACTCATTACTTGAAAGAGGGGCTCAGAGAAGCTAAATAATTTATTCATAATTGAAAGAGTGGCAGAGGTAGGACTGAAGCTCAAGATTCAAGGTTTGCACAGAAAGCATAGTGTTAGCAGCTTAGACTTTGGAGTGATAAAAGGACTTCTGTTTGTATCAAGGTCAAGCACTCTCTGTAACTTTGAGCAAGTTACCTAACTTCCCTTAACCACATAGATCTCTTGTAGAAATAGTAATAGTATGTACCTCGTAAGTTAGTTTTCAGAATTAAATTAGATACTGCCTGAAAAGCATGCTATTAGTAATATTTTAACTTTTAATATTATTATCTTTAGCTATTGTAGTTTGTCAGAGCTTTTCCCGCTAATTAATACAAGGATCCTGACAGGTAATAACAAAAATAATGCACATGAAGGAGTTACATAGGTTAAGACATTTTAAGGCATTCTTAAATTCTGTATGGTTATAACTATAAACAAATATGGGTTTTTGCTTTTAAGATTTTTTTAAGCAGGAGGTGGAATTCACCAATCATTCTGAGAACTCAGCTGCCTACCCTGTCAGTGGACTGTTAAACTTGGGAGGATCCCAGTTACTTTTTAACCAGTTTTGAAGGCATTGTTTAATAATTCTTAACTGTATTTTTTAATTTTATGTATTATAAAATGATTATTTAAACATTCACTTTTCTTATGTCTCAAAGAAAAATGAATCTAATCTTTCAACTGAATCTAATCTTTCCCCCATCACAGCTCTCCACCCCAATTCTTTTTTGATTTTCACCTTTCCATTAAGTGATACTTAACTCCATATTTTAGAAAATGCCCCTTCCTGGCCCTGGACCATTCATATGATCACTTGACTCAAGTGCGTAATTTTCATTTTTAAGGAAGTGACCCCCATCTTAGTCGTGACAGCTCTAAAACAAAACAAAACAGAAATCTCTTGTGTACACACTTCACTTCAGAGTTGAAAAATACTGTATATTTCAAACATTTCTTCTTTGTCTGCACTCCTATGGTAATCCTCTGTGCATTTCCTTCCTTAATTGTGCTGAAAGAGGGGACGAGCTCATCTGCGTCTGAGTGTGCTCAGTCCTCGTGGTGCCCCACATCAAAGTAGGATTTCATAGCACTCAGAGTTTCATTCCATAAAAGTCAGTCAGGCCAGAAGTTTACATAGGTTTGAGCAGTAAACTAGTGGCCCTATTAATTTGTTTCAGTTTATCGAGGATTCAAAGTATGCCAGATATTCCTTTTCCACTGTTGATAAATCCTTGTCTCCCAGGAATAATTTTTGACTGATGTTTATGGACCCTCATCTCTTCCTCTATGATGGGCAATTAGTAATCCCTTATTCAGTCCTTCAGATCTACTTGTCATAAACTCATGTAAAAAGGGAAAATTGACCCATGCCTGGCCAAAGACAGAGACTTTGTCCATGTTGTAATTTATAAATCCTCTTTGGAAAAAATTAACATTCTTGATAAAAGGCTTATTAATTTACAATAAATTTTAATGGGAGTATGACCACTTCTGAGAACTCAGCTACCCATTCCCCTAGTGGAATGTTAATCTTGGGATGAGTCTAATTATCTTTAACCAGTATTGAAGGCATTGCTTAATAATTATTAACTGGGCTTTTTTTTTTTTTTACTTTTATGTAGTATAATAATAATTATCTAACCATTCACTTGTCTTACAGTATGTCTCAAAAAGTAAATCTAATCTTTCAACTGACCTGCTTTAAGTCTTTTCTTCTGCACCAAGATGGTAATAAAATTTTGATGCACATACAACACTAAAGTGTCTGGAAAAAGTTTTACCATGTTATTTTTTTTTACATTTTGTTTTGTTTTCCATCCCTTTCCTTACCCCACTGGCTTACAAATTCTTTGATGGCAGAGGATATAAAATTTTTCTTTGACCTTTTAAGTCTTGGTACCTAGCACAACATCTAGCATATAGTAAGGGGTAAATATTTTTGCTGAGTAAATGAAAATCAAACAAAAAGAATGAGAAACGGACAGAGAAGTAGGGCATGAAGCAATATTAAGCAAACTGAGGAAGGAAATAATGTTGGTATCCCAATGTGTTTCTGACTAGCGGGCATGCTATTCTAATAAACAGCCAAAGACATGACGAAATTTCAAAGCACAAAGTACATACCGAAAAAGTATATAAAAAACATTTTGTTGGGTTACAAACATGGGAACATATTGAGGATGGCTATTAAGCCTTGAAAATAATATAAATACTGCTCATGGTTTAGGCCAGAATAAGGAGACCGTAAATACTCTAAGACTTTCTCAAAAACCAGAAGATAAAACTACTACTCTAGAGGCAGCACGGGTTTAGAAAAACTGACATATATATTGATTTGAATAAGCACCAACTAGAACATTTGATTTTAATGTAATTTTAACCACCATTGTTATTTGGTGAACCCAGATTTCTCACATTATCTAGATATTCAAAGGAATCCTGAGCCAGATTAGCATGAACAATAAAATGTACAACCAGAGACTTAGGTTGGAAATGTATATAGATGCAGGAAGATGTCAGTGTTCTCGAGAGCTATTTTATAGCAATCTTGAATGCAGTGGTAATAGGCAAGAAAAGCAAGGGAACTACTTTAAGATAATACTGAAACGTGCCTTCCTGCAGTCTGCCTTTACCAAGGTGTGTGGCAGCAACAGAGACACTAGTCAGGCTGGCAACTTGCACCCAGAAGAAACAGTTTTTTGTTTTCTTTTTTTTTAACAAGCTGTACTACAAGGAGATATGGTTGTTATTAACTATAGGTCATTTAGATAGAAGCCAGAAGACACAGATGATGTTCAGATTTTTGTTATGTTCAGTGTGGAATAGCAAACACCTATGCTATTTTTTTTTTTTTTTAATTTTAGCACCAAACCAAGCCAAACCAATCAAAACAAAACAAAACCATGATGGGCCATTTGACATAACTGTAGATAATTCCATATTAGTACTTTATGCTTGGCACTGTTATAAATGTTTCATAATTCATTTAGTTCTCAAAACAAATCTTTGTGGTAGATTCTGTCATTATCCCTATTTTGTAGATGAGGTAGCTGAGGGGTTACATAACATTAGGAATCATATAATATTCCCAAAGTCACACAGTTAGCAAAGTAAGCAGCCAGGTGGCCTAGGCTATAATTTATGTGCTCTTAACATATAACACACACACACACACACACACACACACACACACACATATATATATATATATATATATATATAACATATTCTTGCCCCTCTATTTTACTTAATGATCTTCTTCCGTGGAATCTTTATTTTACTATTTCATGTAACTTTGCAATATTTCTCTGAGTTTTATAAAAAGAGATTTTTCTCAGAAATCATGGTCAACTTGTTAAGATCTGGGAATCTGCTCTGTGATTTAGGGTAAGAACAGTAACTGTTAGAAGTCTTTGCTCTCATCTATTTAATGATAATGACAATATTCCCTTCTTTGTTGAGTTACTATAACAAAATTAAAATGAAAATTGTCTAATATTGTCCTTGATACATGGTATATCTATGGTCATGTCTAGGTTTACATTTATATGTAGATTTAATCATAGATATATAAGTATACTGATAAAAATGGATGCCTGTTATTATTGAAATGTTATAATTATTACAGTAGAAATGAGGAAAGTGAGGATCAATCATTAAGTTACCTTTGTTAGTCACAAACCCCTTTGACACAAAAATAGAAAAACAAAATTTTTTATAGATATTCTGAACCCTAATACACTAGGGTTATAATTAGGAAGGCCCAAAAGACAAAGTATTGGAATTAAAAAGAGTCCAATACCTATAAATAGATAGATAAGAAACAAATCTATCTTCATTCTTTATTATATATCTTTTAAACTTTCAGAAGTTTCTTTCTTTACTCATCAACTCTTACATCCTAAAACTGCTTTAGCACATTGCCAAAACTTTGTTATATGTCTCATCTATCCACAGGTTCTGCCTCTTTGTACTTTTTCTCTATCTCCTTCTTTCATTATGTGTATCTCTTTATCAGGTTCATCTACCTAGCTATTCTCTCATAAAGCACACACCAATATTTTTTGTTCTATCCTACAGTATGCTCTGTAATAAATTTGACAGCTCCTACAGAAGATCAAGCACTTCTCCAGACACATTTATTTACATTGTCTTGTGCGAAAATGTTTTGCATTTCCTTATTATTCAAATTTTCCGAGTTTAGGGCAATCTGAGACAATATCCATTGTTCATGTTTGCTCAACTGCTATTTTTCAACAAGTTAAAATATTTAAAACCATAAAATATAACTATGGTCTCTGGTGGACTCTTGTATTCTTGGTAGATCTTTTCTCTTATTCATGTTCATCCACTTACACAATTGAACTCAAATGTCCTCTTGCTCAACCTCTGTAAGTATGCATTGGGCAAGATTCTCTCAAACTTATTTAATCTCATTATGTATAAAACTGGTTTATATGTCTGAAACACACATTGTACCAAATAGTAACTATTAATACATTGCAGCATATTAAAAATTAATTTTTAAGTTA